GAGGGAGTTGGGGCAAGGGTGTGTGTGTGTGCGCGCGCGAAAGAGAGAAAAAAATACATCCCTGTTACGTTGAAAGAGTGTCAGGCACCATAAGAAAACAACAGTGGGACAGGCCTGCTCTTTTTATCCATACATCTCATTGTGAGAGCCCCAGGCTGAGCTTTGTTTATTGTTTGGCTTCCAACAAAAGCCTTTCGGGTCGTGTAATAAATTAGAAGTAGGAAAAGGCAGGAGCTGAGCAGGCCACGAATGTGGCTCGAGGAGAAGAAAAGGCACCTTTTGGGGGATGCTCGCTCCTTGCCATTACGCAATGCGATTGTCCTTGGGAGGCAAACGCGGGTGGGGGTGGGGTGGGGAAGAAGAGGCGAGCAAGGGGGTGGGATGGGGGGTGGGGGGGTTGATGAAGCCGCCGCCTCAAACGTGCCGGGCGAAATGGAAAAGTTAGCCGGCGAATAGATGGAACAATATCTCCCACTCTTGGCTTTTGAAACGGGCTGAATGCGGGCGGGCGCGCTCGCCTGGCCCGAGATGGAAATGAACCCTTCGGCGCTTCCAAAGAAATGAAATAATGAAAATAAAAATCCATAGGGCGAGGGAGTTCCCCACACCCCACTCCCACGGAAGGGAGGTGGTTGTGGGGCGTTTCTAATCGCCCAGGTAGGAACGTGATACAAAGGAGGCTGAAAGTAAACGGGCCGGGCTGGGCGGGGGGGAGGGAGAGCAGCGAATTTGCAACCCTGTCTTCTTAGAGGCTGGAGATCATTGTGAGCTGCGGAGCTGCCACCTCAATAGGCTTCCCCCACGTTTTTTTTTAAAGGAAAAAGCAACATTAATATGCATTACATAGTGGCGTGAGTTGCAGATTTTTTTGTTTTGTTTCAAGGCGCAGAACGATGGCAGTTTGGGGCTTATAAAATGCTGTATTTTTGTTGTGGTGTTGTGTGGCACATTGGAAAAGAGGCACCGACGAAGTTAGGCAGCCCCGCTTATTATTATTAGATTTTCTTTTTCTTTTCTTTTTAATTTGACATTTGAACTTGCCTATTGTCTGAGGATCTCGGTTCAGACTGCAGTAGGTCAAGCTAAAGGCTGCTCTTTTTGGAATTTCACAGGAACGCGCTCAGGCCGCCTGCTCGCCTTCCGGGAAGGCGAGAGGAGCTGTAGCCTTTGCTGCTGGGGGGGGGGAGATGGGGGGGCTCTTGCCAGCGCCGCCGCCACCCCAGTCGAAAGCAGGACAAGGCTGCGACTCTCAGCCCTCTCAGCCTGACCTCTCCCCTCCAAATGCATATATATGTACATACAGTCCGAGAAGGGGTAGGAAATGGGTAATATAAACGCTGCTAGGAAAAAAACTAGCCACCATATTTGGTGAAGTCCAGTAAGACCTATGGAACAACAACAAAAAGTTAGGATCAAAGAAGAGTTCCTTCCTCTCTGGCGGATTCCTGCCCTTCTCAAGTTTGGCCAGGAACAAAAACGTTGTTATTCTGCAGCTAACTAGCTGGGGAGAAAGGAAGGAACCTGAGGTGGCAAGCGGCTTTCTGAATTTCTGATTTAAGAATGGCTAGCCAATCCCGCTTTTACACAGAGTAGGCAACAACCACCCTCCTGAAGATGGCAGGGCTTTACCGTGGTGCGCGCTCTCTCTTTAAAATATTTTTTTTGCAGATGCACATGTTTCTATTGGTGCGAATCTAGTCCACCCACCCCCCGTGCTAAGATGAATCGGTGTGAATTGCTTTTAACTTCTGCCTCTCTACAGAGAGAGGCGCAGGACTGTGGTCTTTCTCTGGCTAGCAGCCACTGCTGCCTCTCCACGTTCCTCTCCCCCCTCCCCAAGGCCAGATTCTTCTTCTTCTTCTTCTTCTTCTTCTTCTTCTTCTTCTTCTTCTTCTTCTTCTTCTTCTTCTTCTTCTTCTTCTTCTTCTTCTCATGGCCACCACTTTCCCCTCCAGCCCCGCCGAGCTGCTCAGAAATGGCAGGGGGCCTGGAGCAGAGGAGGCAGCGGGCAGGGCGAAGGCGCAGCCGCGGAGGCGCTGCGAGCAGAGCGGCGGGGCAGGGGCCAAATCGGCGGGAAAGGCCCATTTGGAGGAGAAGGACAATGTGAGACCACCTGGTGGAGTCGATGGAGTCCTCTCTCTTCAGCCTCGTTCTCCCCACACGCTCCTGGAGTTGCTTTGAACAGGGTGGCAACTCTACACACACACACACACACACACACACACACACAGAGAGAGAGAGAGAGAGAGAGAGAGAGACCTCATTTTGTGAGGGGAGCTCGTCTTCCTCAGGCTTCGTCACGGCGCCATGAACGCCAACCGCGCGCTGCTTCTCCCAGCTCGCCAGAATAGCCTTTTCAAAGCGGGATGGGTTGGGCCCCAATGGGCTTTTTCTCTTTTTTCTCTGTCCACCACCCCCCTCTTTTTTATTTTTAAGGAGTGAGAGGGTAGATTTCAAAAACCCCAACTGGCGCTCGGCTTCTGTGGAGAAGCGCATGGAAGGCAGCCTCAGAAAGGTTTGCTGTCCCTCAGAAAACAAAAGCACAATGTTTTCCTCAGGCCGATTTGTGGCGACTAGCCTGTACCATGACTGGCGCGGGTAGGAGGCGGTAGCCGAGCTTGTTCTTGAAAGTTGAGGGAGCCCCAGTGGACCTGCGCGCGTTTCTGTGTGTTATAACAGGAGGAACTGGAACGGGTTCCTCAGCTTACCTGAACGCCCCCCCCACCTCCGGTTTTGTTCCACCCACCTGCCCTACTGCCAGTGGAGCAGGCTGCCGGGAAGGCTATTCTACCGCAGACTACTGCTTCTGGCAGCAGGGCAGGAAGTATTATTGGCCGTAGCTGATTTCTGGACCAGGAGAGCTGAGATCGTTTTGCTGAGGGACCTGCTGTGCTTGTGGTGGTGCTGGGGACACCCACATACCAACCAATGATGTGAAGGATGTGTGTGTGACAAAAGGGACATCGATAGAGTTAAGCGAGGGGATATGTGTGTGGTTGGGGGTAGAGGGGGAAGAAGAAGAAGAAGAAGAAGAAGAAGAAGAAGAAGAAGAAGAAGAAGAAGAAGAAGAGGAGGAGGAGAGCCGTTCTGGGTTTGCACAATTCTTGGGGTTGCCGCCTGGGCGCGCTGACGGGCGTGCGCACAAACAGGAGGCCAGGATTGCGGTCCCCTCCCCTTCTTCTAAAAATGTTGCCACCGCGTCTGAAGAGGCGACTTTTCTCTCCCTCCCAATCCCCCCCCCCGCCCCGCAATCCCCGCCCAGCTCCTAAAGGTGAGTGCAGATTGCAAGAGTTGCTGCTCTGTTTTTTGTTTGTCAAACAGGAGGCTTCTCCAGGGAGAAGGGCATTTGTGGAGGGATCCCAGCGCAGGATTACATTAATCAAGGCATTATTTCCCCAGGGATGCGCGGCGCAAATTAGAGTAAATCCTAATAAAATTGGATCGCCGACAAACGGAACGCTTAAAGTAATCTGCTCCTCCTGCCTTCCTTTTCTTCTCTGTTATTTATTTTTTCTTCGGGGCTCACAAATCTTTTAAAGGTATCGCGCTTGCCCTGCGCGGACAGATACCCACCCGCGCGCTGCTGCCACAGGCCGCCTTCCTTTCCACAGAGCCTCTCTATAGAAGGGCTGCTGTCAGGGGCCAATTAGTCTCCGCGTCTCGGAGCTCCCACTTCCAAAGCGGCGGGAAATAACATCCCCTCAGCCTTCTCTGTGAGGCTTCCCTTCTCCCCAGCTGTTATGTAGTCGAGGTTTCCCACCGGTGCCACCGTGGAAGGGGGCAATGGCGGCGGCGAAAAGGCCGGGCCCCTTCCTCTTTTTACATTTTTTCTTCCCCTCCGCCTGCCTTCGCTGTCCTGAGGCCGGGAGCGAAGCCAGCCAGCCCAAGACCGACGCCTCGCCGCTGGCGTTTCTTCGCAGCGAAGTTGCCAGAAGGCGGATGAGGGGAATGACGGCGGGCGCCAAGAGACTAGTCCTCTGCGAACACCAGACATTAGAGGAGCGCGGGCTGAGGAGAGGCGGGCTGTGAGCGTGGAGAGCTGTGGCGTCTTCTAGCTGGGAACTCTTTAAACAATAAAGAAATGAAAAACCGTGTCTCCCTCGTGTGTGTGTGTGTGTGTGTTGACGGGAGGGGGAAAAGAAAGGCAGACTTTCACTTTAATCTTTTGGATTTAATCTCCGCTTTCTCTCTCTCAGTCTCTCCACCCCCGTCCCTCCAGGGAGGGAAGCCGTCCATCCCTCAGGGAGCTGGCAGTAGCCGGACCTCCTCGGACGACGGAAAGGCAAACAAGAGCGGCAGATGCGCCTTTAATTGCTTTCCTGGGCTCTGCCTGACCCTTGCTGGAGGCTTCTGGGCTGCGAGAGGGAAAGAGAGGCAGCAACTAGCGAGCGGGCGGGAGAGCGAGGAAGGCAGGCAAGCGGGAAGATAAGCTTTCCCCCGACAGACAGCGCCAGTCCAGTCAAGCTAAACACCTCGCTGAGGGAAAACTAGAGCGCGCGGCGTGCCAGGTAGCCCCACCCCACCCCCACCGCCTCAGGAAAGGCGAGGAGCCCCCTCCTCCCGCCACCCCACCCCCGCCACATTCCCACACGCGATGTTGCCAACGCATCTTTCCCTCGCGCTCTCTCTCTCCCCCCCCCACCCCGCACCTCCCGCCCAAAGCGACGACGCAACCAATTGGCCAACCTGAGTCTCCCATTTGGGCTGGTTTACTTTCCAGAGTTCAATTCTCCGCCACCTTCCCTCTCCGCCACACACCCCACCACCACCACACGCGCGCGCGCTGCCTCGGACGCCTCCTTCCCTTCCCTTGCCCTCCCCCCCCCCAGCCGCCGTTGCCGCCGCCGTCGAGCTTGGTTTCCTCAGGGTCGAGGGTGGTGGTGGCGGTGCCCCCCCCGTCAGGCAAGACCGAGGTCTGAGGGTGGGGGAGGGGGAGGGGAGTCTCCGTTTTACCTGAGGGAGGGTGAGGGGAGCCAAAGAAGGAAGGGGGAAAAGAACACACACACACACGCACGCAGAGCCTGCCGTTCCCCTTCCCGCCTTCTCTCCGCTCGCTATCCAGCCGGACCATTGGACCGACTAGCCCGCCTGCCTGCCGCCGCTCTGCAGCCCCTTCGCTCCCGCCTCAGCCGAGGAATCCTGCCGCCGCTCTCGCCGCTCGCTTCTGCCTGCCTGCCGCCGCCGCGTCTAACCCCGGCCGTCGGCTAGGCTAGGCTGGGCTGGGCGGTTCTCCTAGAGCCGAGGCGCGAGGCGCGCAGCCCCGGGACTCGGCTCGCCGCCGCCGCCGCCGCGCGCGAGTCACCCCGGCTGATGACGGATCATTAAGAAGAAGTGGCCTTAGCGTCCCCGTCCTCCCGCCCCCCGCTCCCCGCCACCTGGCGCCTCTCTTTTAGAGCAGAGGATGCGCGCGGATAAGTGGCGGAAGAGGGGCGTGTGTGTGCGCGCGCGCGTGTGAAGATGGTGATGGAGATGGACCGGGAGAGGTAGGCGAGTGGGAAGCGCTCCTCTGATCCCGACGATTCCCCTCTCCATCTCCTCCCACTCCCCTCCCCGCATCATTAAAAAAAGCAGCCCTTCCCTAAAATTTGGTACCCAAGTTTGACTGCACTCTCCCCCCCCCCCCGCCTCCCAGCCATCCTCCTCCTCTCCCGATCCCCAACTGCAGGCGTCTATTTCTCTCTCTCTCTCTCTCTCTCTCTCTAAATATATATCAAAGGAGACTTCACTAGTTTCTCCTTGACAGGGGCTGATCTGTTAACCCAGGAACTACCTAGAAGGTTGGTATCATTGTGGAAGAAAATCCTTCATTTCCTGTGTGCTCAGTAAGTTTTTTTTTTTAACCAACAACCCCCCTTTTCCCCAATTTATTCTGTCTTGTTGTACATTTGCTTTGCTTGTGAGGTTTTAATGACATAAAAACACTAAATGGAAAAGGAGACATTTGATTTTTGTGTTGGTATGCTAGAGTTTTTTTTAATATATCTATATCTGCATTTTAAAGTTGTGGCATTTGAAGACTTGGTAGAAATGTGGAGAACATTTTATAGCTCATATATGGAAATATTGCATTTACTGTCACCTACCAATAAATCTATGATTTATTTCAATCATGAAAATAATTTGTGAGTTGCTTCCAGATAAGTATATATAATGTGTATTATTTTGTTTTAAAATCCAAAATACAGGGAAGAATAGACAAAGACTTACCTGTTACACATTAAATATAGTTCTGCATTGAAACAGATCACAGCTTTGTAATTCTATTTGCATGCCACCTTTGAGGGAAAATACTTTTAAAAATGCATTTGTGATTTTCCCATTGTCTAATTTTAAATTTATTCAGTGCTTAGATATGTATTTTTTTCTAGTATATATTAGCAAATAATTTGGCAGGTAGTCATTATCATAAAGTTGCTGGCACTTGTTCACTGGTTAACATAACTTTCCAACCTTTTTAGACACATTTTCCACTTAAGGCTAGCCATATTTGCATTATGTTTGGCTGTATATATATATATATATATATATATATATATATATCCTAGCAGGGTCTGATCTTAGAGTTAGTCCTTACTCATTTATTTAGAAATTATATTGAAGTAATTTACCTTCAGGCATCAAGAAAAAAATGATCTAATCTCGGTAACCAAGGAAAAATGAAATATCTCACTGAGTTTTTTCAGCTATATTTTTGAGGCAATCACACAGTCACTAAGGAGTAGTAGTAGAAATTTAATAATGAATTCAACAAGGTGCTTATTTAGTAAGATAAGTGCGAATGAGGCTAGCATTCTCATATTTATGACTAATTTAAATAGAGCTGTTAACTTACAGAAGGCTTAAAAAAGTATACCCAACTTCATTCTACACACAAACACATGTAAAATAAATAAATAAGCAGATCCCCCAATTAGGCTAGATAACATAGGTGGGAAGAAAAAAAAAATGCATGAGAAAATAATGTAAACTTGCATATCCTGATACATTCAGCATGGTTCTGGCATAAGTAATTTAGTTCAGATCCATTTGCTTTAACCACACAGATATTACAAAAGGAATTAACAGAACAGTTGTACTGAGGGGGGGGGCACCCCATATTTTCCCTTTGAAATATGATGTGCAACTAACTTGAAATGACACATGGAAGCCAGTGAATAAATCATGGGAAATATTAATATTTGAAATGTATTGTATTTAAAATTAATCAGAACTTCACCCCACTCCACTTTAGCTACCTTTTTCTTATCTGTAAATACCTCACTTTGGATTCCATCAGTTTGATTCAACATTTTGCCATATTTTTAAAAGATATATGGAACCACATCTTGACACCTTGATCTTAACACTTTGACTGGGGAGTAGTTCCTATTGATTTAAATGAAATTTATTTCCAAGTTGAGTGGCTTATTATCACAGTCTTGATTTTTTTTTATTTAAATAAAACCCCGCAAACCTTTGAAAGTCAAATATAGTAAGAATGACATATTAGAAGCAGTAAAAACTGGCAACAATCCAGCACAGAATTTGGGGTGCTTAAGCCAAAAGCATGTCCAAATCTGTTTTGGATCGTGATGCTTAATTTTATTTTACACTTCACTAGAAGGAAAAGAATTTGGAGGAGTCAATGAACACAAACACAACACTCCAATCCATTCTTATACTATCCATAATGTAACAAATATTATATAATGTATTTTATAATTAGACTTATGTAGAAACGGATGGCATGTTATCTTACCTATATAAATACACCTTATTATGTGTAATATCCAATATTCCCCCTCTCCCTATATGTAATATATTTATAGTGCAGCACATTATTTTTGTACATTACGGCTATAAACCAATTAACTGAAATTCCTCAGTAAGTGGTGGCCTCAATACAATACATTGCTTAAAATGCTGTCATATGTTGCAACCACCACAAAGGAAGAGAACACTTTTTTGTTAATGTATTTCACAGCAAAATGTGGATCTGGGTTATGAGGTTTAAAAAAGTGCATTTGCAATTATTATTTTTAAGTTTAATGCTCCTTATAGTAGCAAAGTGATCGCTGCAAGAGCTTCTAGCAAAATGGCACAAAGGTTAAATCCAGAACGTTGACAACCATAAGGCAATCAGAATTTTGCCATTGATTCCAGTGGGATGGCCTTGTGTTCTTATTAGGTGTACTCATGATATCACTGCTCATTTGCATCACTTTCTGGCCTTTATTGGTCTTGTAGATTTAAGCCTAGCTCCTTTATGTATGTATTCATTAGGTAGGACTAGTTTCCTCTGGACTTAACTGTTAAAAGCAACATGATACTTCTTTGAGCTGGAAGAGAAACTTTTGGTTCCACTCAGCACTCCAGCCACAGTGTTTCAATAGGGTCACAGTTGGGGCCTTATCTTTATCCTGCTGAAGTCTAAGAGAATCATGCCTTGATGATCTGGCTTCTCAGACCTAAACATATTTTCTGGAAAATAAACACTGCAGATTTTTTTTATTCCACGTATGTGTGCATAGAATTTCACTTGAGGTTTGTCTTCCTTGTCAGTGAGTGTGTTTAGTCAAAGCATTAGGAACTCAATGTCATGGTGTTAAGCTCACAGAAAGTATTTACAAGAGTGGTCCTGGGCACTCGTCTCCTTTACGTAAAGGTTTTATTTAGGAAGCAAGCAGAAACGACAATAGAAAAGGGAACATGTGCAAAGACCTGCTGCAAGGAAGCAGAGGACTCAAATCTAACAAGATAGTATCACATGATGTGGCACACTGTAAGAAATATTTGCTTCTGCAAAAACATGATCAAATTCAGATAAACAAAAACAAAAAGACAAAAAAAGAAAAGCATTTTAGTGGTTTATATTGCAGTTCACCAATACATACAGCCAGATCCACAGCATAGTTAAAATGGTGTATTTGGGTTTAAACTAATTTAATCCCATTCATTTGAACAAGGTTTGTTTTGGCTTGTAGATTGGGAAACAGAACTATATATATATGTGTTTGTGTGTGTATATATATATATATATTCTATTTAGCGACATCACATTTTTTTGCTTGTTAGCGCAGATTATATTTTCTATACAGTAAAAATGTTCTTTATATTTTTAAACCTACATGCAGGATGTAAACACATTCTGTATTTAAACATTTCTTGGTTCTGTCAAAGAGTATGCTCACAAACTTTCACAAATGTCCTGTTCACCAGATTTGGAATTAAAGTGGAGGGCTATGAGGGAAGAGAAAACAAACTCTTTGCAGTATCATATCTGTAGCTTCTCAGCATCTATATGTATGTGTGTGTATAAATACAATTACATCCATTAGTAAAACATAATATCTGTTTTGAATATGAATCTTATTTGTGATTTTAAAAAGTTATTTAAATTCTTATAAATGGTAAAATTATATATAATATTATATTCAGGGGAAATCCTATTAAGAAACAACAAAAAGAGCCATTTATGCTAAACCTATTAAATAAAAGAAGGCACAAATTATAACATTTTAGCATCTAGAATGCACACACAGAAACACACACACACACACACACAGAGAGAGAGAGAGAGAGAAATTAAGCAATGACTTTATACATTTAGGAGATTAAATCCACGATTATTTTGCCCTTTTACAGATAAAACATCAATTTAGCAGTCATATTTAGATCCCCCCCCCAGTAACTGATATATTGTGTATTTTTTTTTAATGGGGAAAACTTGATTCTGAAAAGTAACACTCTGTCTCACATCACACATACAAATCCATGCTGAATTAGTCTTTGCACTGTCAGAAACTAAAATATCACTATGAGGAAATAAATCATTTATTTGAAGCCCATTCTGTTTTATGCCAGATTCTTCTAGCTGCATTCATTTCGAAGTATTGGTTTTAACCTACAACAGTTTCAAACCTGTGTATCTTAGGGCCTGTTTTTCCTCCTGACCACTGAGATTTGGGAAAGAGGACAACTGCAGGTCCCATAATTCCATAGTGTGTTCTGTTATTTAGGCCCAGCTCTTTGAAGTTCTCTACTTTGGGAAGCCTTCGGAGCCTAGTGTTATCAATATTCAGAGAAAGAGTTTTCATTTGAAAATGCATTCCATTTGATTTTGCTATGGTTAACTTTCTCTCGCTTTTACTGTGGCCTCTGTTTTGTGGTTGTAATGTTACTGTAATAATTTTGACAACCTGGGATTTTAGGATAGAAAAATCGGTAGATGTATGCTTTATGTCAGGCTGTCCAGTTACAGAGAATTTGCTTAATTTTTCAGAATCCCTATATAAAAAATGAAGTGTAGCACCATCATTGTGGGTTCACTTAAACAAATTGGTTTGCTGTTTATTCCAGTGCTCATCTCATGCATGCAAGCAGAAACCGTTTAGAACCCATCTAACACCAATTTTAACAATTTGAATGACTCAAAATCAGCATACATGAAAGTATTTTATTTTTGAGATCAGTTTCTAATATTGCATTTAAGAACAAGTCTGTTTTGAAGGATTCACATGTAAGATTTGACTTCCCCTTCCCCCATGGATACTATCTATGTTTACTCAAAAGTAAGGCATTCAGTTCAATGAAACTCACTCCTAAATAAGTAGATATAAGATTTCAATCTTAATGGGGTGTAAAGCAGTTTAAAATTTCTGAAAAAGGCAGGCAAACCTTATATAGGGCCTTAAACCTGGATGTTGTAATGTAACGTACATGTACTCACATGGCAAAGCTAAAAACACACAGGTCAGAATTTGTTCCTGTCTTCTAAATAATGAAAGTACATATTGATGGAACTTATGGAAGAATATAACAACCGATGATCAGCCTAAGACATGAAGCAAGTTCCACTGATTTTCAAGTAAATGTTTGTTTGGTCTGGGATACCAATTTGGTCTGAACAATTTCAGAATAAAAAGCTAACATTACACATAATGAAAGAGCATTGCTAATATCATCCTATCTCCTGAACACTTCTTTTTGATTGCAAGGTCAATCTCATTTGTATGATGTTGGTGACATACATAGAAATGAATACAGAATGCTTGCTAGTGGAACTTCCAACTGTGCGTGATTTTTTATTTTTAGTTAATTTTAGTTATCAGTTGTGTCAGTGCGTTTTGGGGGTGGGAAGCTAATAGTAAAAAACAATGTTTGTGTGTGTGTGGGGGGGGAGACAGTGTCACATACAATATGTGAATTAATCACCTAGTATTTACTGACATTATGGAGTTTTGCTTAGCTGGCTAGATATATGAAAATACAGACCCAGACCTGAAGGATGGCTAAAATTTCAGACCTGTTCACCTTCATCAGAAGTGTGAAAGTAATCCAGAAACAATATTTCCACACTGTTGTTTTCTAGAGTTGACTCTGAGTTGTGTGCTCTAGGTCTTCATCAAACTCATTTTTGTTCTAAGCAAAATGGCTGGGATTCCTAGGAAGCCTGAATGCATTCATGAAACTACGTACTGAGACTAGAATCTAAAGAGCTACTGGGGCCCCAGGGCCTTGTACTTTCCCAATGGGCACCCCCAGTTTGGATAGCAGATCACCATGTCGTATGTCAGGGATTGGGAAGCGATGGTCCTCCCAATGTTGTTGGACTCCCAGCTCCCATCAGCCTCAGCCAGCTTCTCCAGTGTTCAGGGATACAGCCAGATGGAGTCCAATAATGTTTGGAGGGTCTCTGGCTCCCCATTCTGACTCATAGAGTTGGAAGGGATGCTGAGAATTATCTAGACCAACTCCCTGCAATGCAGAAATCCTTTGCTCAATGTGGGGTTCAAACTCACAGCCCTGAGATCAAGAGTCTCATGCTCTGCCAACTGAACTTTCCCTCGGGGCAACTGAACTATTCTGGTCATAGGCATTTAGACTATCAGTGAGCAAGTTATACTCAATTAATCGATCTTACGTTCATGTCAACATATTTTAAACCAGGTGTATGGTATAAGTTAATGTACTTTAGGGTATATGGTAAATAACAAATATCCCCCGCAGACATCATGAGTTTAAAAAGGAAAGCATTGAACAACATTTTCTTTTTCTCCTCGATGTTTGTATTTTGAAAGATTTGCATTTTTATTCTTTTTTAAGGAATGTGACTGACTACTCAGGTGAAACATTCATTATAAAGCACTCACTGTAAACAAGATGAATCAGGTCTAGAATAATTTTTTCCCCCTTCCCAAATTCTTTTGGTTAAAGAAGTCAGTTATTACTTGTCACAACAGCAGGTTAAAAAGGCAGACAGAAATGTAATTTTAAAGTTAGCAGTTCTTTACATTATACTTGAAGAACAGTCTCACGGGGGAGAGAAAAAAAAAGACATGGTACATTGTTCTCTATGTCATTTGTTTAAATGCAAATTTCAGGCGCTGACTGCACACCAAAAAAAGAAAAAAAGAAAGGCAGGTTCTGCAGTAGCATTGGTGTTAGAGACGCCCCCCCCCCCAGCATATTAAGAACCAGTGACAAAGGAAAATTTAAATTCACACAGCTGATATTCAGATTGCTTGTTGCATGTTGCAGCTTTAATCCCTCCTTATTTCTTTTCCCTTACTCATTATGGCTAGTAGTTTAACAAGCACTTTTTGTATGTAAAAACCTTATCCTAACAGCAAACCTGTGAAACAGAGCCTTCCTATGTCCATTTCTCAGAGAGGCCTTGACTTGCCCAATGCCACTCGGTTACCATGGCTGATTTCAAATTCAAGCCCATATATATATATATTCAATTCTGATACTGTATCCACTCCAACAGACACTGATATTATTCAAGCATAATTTGTAATGTTTATTATTATTATTTTTTAAATGTTTGGGACTTTTAACAAGTAGAGCCTATGAGTTGTGACACCGCATGCTTCTACGTTTGGAAACTTCTGACATATCTGCCAGGGACCTCTTTAAAAACAAAACAGTCCATAATGTATGCAGGATAATTTTTATATCGATCATCTATGTACCCTATAAATGTATAAACATATTAGATAAGTCATCCTTAAAAGAATAGCTTGCTTCAATATATTTATTTTTTCTTGGATTTATAGCTCACCTGTGCTCCAAGTAGCTCATGGTAGCTGGCATACATGACTCTCTCCCCCTCTCTATATTATTATCATCACAACAACTTTGTCTGAGAGTTTAGGCTGAGAGCTGGGGACTCACCCAGTGAGTTTCATGTCCCTGTCGGGACTTGAACTCGTCTCCCAGGTCCGAGTCTAACACTCTAACCACCACACCTCACTGACTGTCTAACATTTACACATCGAACATCAAAGTAGATCCTAATATAACATGCACAAATAACATGATCTTCCCACTTCTCTTACAGAATGAGTTTGTGTGCATGTTTACTCATCAGCAAATGTTATTGAGTTGAATGGCATTTACTCATCCCGAGTAAACATTATCAGGGATAAGTTCCATGGAATGCAGTGAGGATTACTCCCAGGTAAATGTGTATAGGATCAGGCTATAAGAGAACAATTAAGACTACAATCCTTTACAATGCTTTAACTCAACAGGGATTGCTTAGAGCAGGGATCAGCAAACTTTTTCAGCAGGGAGCCGGTCCACTGTCCCTCAGACCTTGTGGGTGGGCCGGAATATATTTTGAAAAAAATATATGAATGAATTTCTATGCCCCACAAATATCCCAGAGATGCATTTTAAATAAAAAGGACACATTCTACTCATGTGAAAACAGGCTGATTCCTGGACCGTCCGCGGGCTGGATTTAGAAGGTGATTGGGCTGGATCCGGCCCCCGTGCCTTAGTTTGCCTACCCATGGCTTAGAGATATATAGAATTGTTCAGTCCACAACAATAAAATAGTCGTATAGTTCTAAATAGGGAAGTCCCAGAGTAGCAGTCGGTGGGGCTTCACTTGCATAAATGATCTAAGGCTTCTTGGACTGCTTTTATTTCATGGAATATAGCCTTGGTTTGGGCTTCTAGGGCTGTAATGCACACTTTACTAGGGAGTAAGTTCAATGGGACACAATGCGACTTTGAAATTAATAAGGAGAGGAATTCACCATAGTGCTATGACAATTGTTTCATGAGCACAAGAATTTCAGCTTGCCAGATGGAACAAGACTCCATCTCCTCTCTGGGTAAACTATTTAGGGGGGTGTTCACCTGGACACACACCCCCCCGAGAAAATTTGGTGTGTGTATGTGGCAAATGGTGGGGGGAAGGAAAGTGAGGTAAGCCCCAATGCACTAATGGAAGTCTGTGTTCTGGCTTCTGCTAGTTGGATTTGTTAGTTGAATCCAGACCAATGTGGTTAGAGCAGCTTTATATGTAATATTTTTCCAACACAGAGATAAGTTCTACGTTCAAAAAAGAAGCACACACTTCTGTACAAAGTGCACCGCAAGAACTTCTTTAACCGATGCACGGGTTAGCAGTCCATTCTGTGTGCCGGTGCAGACTTGATTCATTGTAATCTCTCCCTCTGATTAGGAAGAATGAAATGTGTGAAGGAGTCTTAGGTTTTAGAACAGTTCATATATAAAAAAATATGTTTGACAGATTTTCCCCCACCGAAGGCTTTCAAAGCAGCATGCAAACATTAAATTAAAACACACACAGAGGCAGTACAATAATCAATCAAAAAGTAACAAAAATAAATTAACATAACGAACAAAAAACCAATGCATGCACACACAAATACCAAACAAACCCAAATATCAAAATAATGAGGAGAAATTCCCTGCCAATCAAAGTCCTCATGAGCAGGGCTGGCTCAAGACATTTTGCTGCCTGAGGGAAAGGAGAAGACGGTACTCTCCCATTCTACATACGTATATATGCTAACTGGACTGCCAGTTATTTTAACGCTGGCAATGGGATAGTATCCTCCACAGCATCTGAGGACAGCAGGCTAGTTAGGGGGATGCTGTCTCCCAACTTGTGCCACCTATGAATAATGGAGAACCAGCCCTACTGATGAAACATAAGTTTCCACTGAATATCAGAAAGCCTGTAAAGTGGGAGGGAGAATCTCCTGGGGGATGGATTTCCAAAACCTAGCTGCTGCCACAACCCCCCATCTCATACCACTGCCAGCTGCACCCCTCTGAGCAATGCTCAGATTTCTGGGGGTGGGGAGGGGCTGCACCCTTAACCTTTGCGATAATTCCTTATGCTACTGTTTCTTTAAATGCGATGGGGTACCAAAACATGGCCAAAGTCCAGATTGGGTTTGAGCCTAGGACTTGCTGATCAGAAGGTCGGCGGTTCGAATCCCCGCGACGGGGTGAGCTCCCATTGCTCAGTCTCTGCTCCTGCCAACCTAGCAGTTCGAAAGCACGTCAAAGTGCAAGTAGATAAATAGGTACCACTCCGGCAGGAAGGTAAACGGCGTTTCCGTGCACTGCTCTGGTTCACCAGAAGCAGCTTAGTCATGCTGGCCATATGACCCAGAAGCTGTACGCCAGCTCCCTGTACGCAGTTTGGCCACAGTGTTATGCACCAGTTGCTATTTCTGAAAACATCTGAGAGGAAGGCCTTTGTAAAGACAATTCCACACCAACCATTTGATGTACTAACTGAGACACTCTCTCTCTCTCTCTCTCTCTCTCACACACACACACCTATGCTCTTTATCTGTTACCTGCAGATTACCAGCTGTATTTAACTTTCCCCCCATAAGTTATTCCGGTGAATTGCCTTCAGCAAACGCTTTTCACAGCATTAGGGCAGAACTAGGCTACAAAAGAATATTAATCTAATACATTCCAGAATTCAAATCCATGTGATTAATAAGCATTATCTATAAATAAGGCCCTAATGATTCTTTGGCAATGTTGTAAACACAAGAATCAGAGGCAATTATTGTCATTATTGTTCTGCAAGTACTTTCTGTGAATACCAAATGGATATTGCTGTCCAGCTTCTTGGCAAATGTATATCTAGTAACGAAACAGATGTCAGCCAGCCTGGGCTGCCTTAAATTACACTTGCCCAATGCACAGGGTGTGTAAAGGAAGAAGGAATCAATTTATTGAAGGCAAATAACCTGCTGGTTGAAACTGTCTCCCGGTCCTTATTAACCCACTTAAAACGTACGTTTTACAGTAATGCTAGAGAACTCATTTTCATCACCCTGTGAAGCAGACTGGATGTGCAGTGACCATGATTATTAGTACAGAATGGACAGTTGGATCATGGATGGATGGATAGATAGATAGATAGATCGACAGATAAACAGCAGCAAAAATTGTCCTTGCCTTATCTAATACATGCAATGGAAAACTGTAATGAAGGGTGAAATATGAAAGCTGTTTTAGCATGATATGGAAAACAATGCAGACCAATAAACAATATTTTGTACAAAAGAGAAAGGTCTGGTTAAGCTTTCTGTAGAGCATATAGCTATGCCATGGTCCAAAACTCACATTTAATTCTTACAGCGAAGGATATTTTTGTTGTTGAATCCAAGTTATTAATTCATTGAGCCTTTTTAATTGCAAAGTATTTCGTATTCTTTATCATATCCATCCTCAACAGTTTCATGGGTAAGGTAATTTTGAATTTCCATTTTTCAGAAAGAGAAATGGAGAAATTTGCCAAATTAGTCTAGATTAGTGGGAGAACAGACATTCCCAGCATGTTAGAAGTGGTATGAGCACACATTGTCTTTCCTTGGGGGTGGGAGCCTCAGAATGAATGGAATGTGTGTTGAAACCACTCTTAGCACATTTAGCAATGACTGTGTTTGGATGTGTCACTGAATTGAGGTTTAGCATTGCATACATGAACATCAGGCTCTTTCTGTCCTCCTCCTATGTGGCTGTGAGGAGATCAGAAGCTTTTGTTTCCATTTTCAACTAACCACAG